GAAGGTACTGTATGTTGTGAGACTGTCCTCCCAAAAGGAACAACAGCATCAGTCGTCTTAGCTTGTGCCCCCAAACAACTTGTTTTTACACGTGTTTACATCATAGACTGTAAATAAAGATGGATGTAGCCTCTATGATGTCACCCACAGGATTCTGAAGCTCAGAGTGAGCTGCTCCACCGCCGCCATTTTGCCTCGGTGCATGCTGGTTTAATAACCATGGCGAACATGCTCTCTCGTTAGCATTGTCAGCACAGCTGGATGTCTGGGCATCTTGCTCTAAGGCTAATACAAGGCCAAGGCAAATTTGTTTGTTGGCTAATTAGCTAGTTAACAACCTAAGCTAACAAGGCGGTATAGTGAGTGCAGACACTGATAATGCTAAATAAATAAAATAATAGTAGAACTTCACTCACCTCAAAAAACAGGAGCACACTAACTCATGTTCTGTTTGTCAAGTAACCAACAACAACACATATTATCTGTCTGGTATTAACATGAAAAATCCTCCACAAAGACCAACACCACAAACACAGAGAGGTCACGTTCTGTGACTCCAATTAGCCGAGTTGATGCCTAACAGACGGCTAGCAGCTAGGACAGAGCAGCTGGCCAACTGTGACGGCACCCACCTGTCACTCAAAGCAGCCACGACCTCAGTTATACATAATTTTAAGACTTAATAAAATTTAAATGGGTGAGTTATATAAAAGTTCTCCCCCAGTACATTTGTCATGAATGAGGAAATTAGCTTTAGAGTCCAAAACTGTTTTTGTACCAGGCTGTAAACATTCATTTCTGCTGTAAAGTTGGACATTTTAACATGGGAGTCTATGGGGATTGACTCACTGTTGGAGCCAGACTCTAGTGGTCATTAGAGGAACTGCAGATTTTAACAATGCTGGCTTGAGGTACAAGATATTCCTGTGGCAAAAGCCCTCTAGTGGCATTAGTAATGGGTTGAAAGGGGGAAGTCAGGTGATGTTACAGAGTGACACAGTCCTCGTAGACTGGATGGGTGGGTCAACAAAACAAGACTTCAAATTGACAGTCAATTGACGAAATAAAATACATCTTAATATCTTAACAGATTGTTATTAGCTATGTACGGTATACACAGCTAATAACATGCTTTTTCAAATGACAAACAGGTGGAATAATGCTCAGTTTGCAGTCGAGACTGTCCTATAAAAAATGTTCCCACAGGTCGAGTAAATAAATCTGATAGGCAGTAATAATGTTGAGCAAGTTGAATTACTACTTATTCCACTTATTTGTCAGTGGTGTCTAAATAGAGAGCGAGAGTGATCACACACACACACACACACACACACACAGTGGCAGGAGTGAAGCCTCTCTCTACACAAGGCAGTGGTTATTTTAATTTCATTGTTATAAAGGCGATGCCCTGCTTGTCCAGGAACACTAAAAAGCTTTACGTTTTGCGTATAAATTCATCCATTAACTGTACAGCTGATACGTGATTAGAAAAGAGCAGAGGAGGAGAATCCCTCTGACCGGCGCTGAGAGATGTGTTTGAGGAATGAACAGCCGGGCCACTGCTCATGTGAGACAGAGTCAATCTGACCATCGGGCAAACCGGGACAAATCCTGCAGGGCTGCTGCATTGGTGGACGAGTGGAATACACAAACAGCCATTCAGGGTTTTTTTTTTTACTCGCCTTGTGTGTTTCACTATTTTTAGAGTATTGTTTTTACACATAAATGTAGTTGCTACAGCTGGTTCTCCGAAAGACATGGGGCTCTGTGATACAGAGTCTGCTGTGTTTATATTGCACATAATAGAGTTCCTGTGATCAGCTGAGCTGTTGTGAAGCATGGCCAAGGAGTCACTTTGTCATGCAGTGGTTAATGCAACACTGCCAGTGTCTCACAGGTCAACACTCTGGGGATATCATCATCAGTGTGCGACAGAGTGTTTGATTTAATGGACACCAGCAACTTACTGCTGGAGCTGTAGCAGACTGCAGGCTGGTTTCCCACAGTGCAGTGCACTCATGTGGAAGCAGGAAGTAAACAAATAATGCCATAGGCCAAACAGCTGGGGACGGAGGGCTGTGGGCAGAGACACAGGAGACTGCTGTGCTGCGCTACATTCATGTTTCTGTTTGGAGACGTACAGACTGATACTTGGCTAGTATTTAAAATAGCATCTGGTCCAGTCAGTATGAACTCAATTGTGATGAATAGTAGTTTAATTGATTACTTGTGACCATTTAGTTTTCAAATTAGTCAGAGTAGAATCACTGTAACTTTTCACTGTATATAAAAATCTGTTACATCTTTAACCTGAATTTCATCTTTTTGAAGTTTACCTTAAAATATTTTGGTTTAAAGTGTGAATAAAAAGCAAGGGGATAACAGCACATGGTAGTATTTGAAGCAGAGGTAGCGGTAAGTTGGTGTTGGATTTTGAAATTATTGCAACATAAGCACAACTACACAAAATATTCACATTACAATAAAGGTTACATTTGAATCCTTCTTTTTATAAACACCAGACCCAAGATAGAGTGAATCTATTTTCCTATTAGAGACTGATATCAATTGTCTACACAAATGTTCTTCTTCATCTGTGGTGGCTGGTGACTGGCAACCTGAGGACGGGCCAAGTGTGTAGCAAGATTTATCATATAATTTACTATTAATTGTGCATTTTAATAGCGTGCCACAGGGATAATGTATTTTTATAGGCTAACCTTGATGTTAGCGTCACCGTGGTTCCCTCCACTAAAAGCCGTTGATATTTTTCAATTGTCTTTTGGATTATTACAGAAAATAAACAATAGTAATCATACTGACAGGTTTTGTTCAGCAGGATCATCTTCACTAATGAACACCACTACAAAAGCCTTTCCACTTACAAAGTTAGTGACAGTTTGTATAAACACAACGCTGCTGTAAATGTGGACTGGTGAGTAGATTGGTTTTCATGTTCAACATGAAATCAGAACTGGGGATATTTACCGACGTATTTTATATCGTAAAATTCGAAAATATCTTGAGCTTGTGTTAAACACAGACCTGATTTCAGTCATCGAACCACAAACTCATTCAAAGAACCAGAGACTTCAGGACGAGGGAACAGGAGGAGCTAAAATGCAACTAATTTCCAGGTTTTCTAGCTTTCAGCACATTGGAAAAATGACATTAACACAAACATTTACATTAATATTATTATTAATATCAAATATATCAGAAGAAAAAAAAACAATATATCAAAATCACCATATTATTAAGACTGTTTGATGATGATTGTAAACAGAGTTCAGAGATATGCTGATACATTTCAGGCCTCAGCCCAGTCTGAGCTCACCCAATCTGACCCACTAACAAAACTAAAATTAGACTGACAACTACTTCCACATTCACATTCACTGTGGTATCTTCCCCGTTCCCAGCATCATATATGTGTGATCTGTCATCTCTGGTAAACATGAAAACAAACAAGAATGCTCCTGTCAGGTTGTTGTCCCTCTCCCCACATCAACATCAGGTTCATTATCTGAGTAAATCTTTTTTTTTTTCCTATTTTGTTTGTTTGTCCGTGTACACCTTTAACAGAAGCTCATTTAACATATTAGCACACGTAATGGCATCCATAAGTTAAGCATTTATCTGTAAATCTGCAGCATACAGTTAGCTTGTATTGTCTGTCACTGAGAACAGGCCCGTGGTATTTAACATAATATTTATATGCATGTTATGTTCGGGCATGAGTGGCTCTGGGGCCATGAAAAAGAAGTGCAGCGCTTTCCAAAATGCATATGATGGTTATGAAATAGACTCTTTTCTGATCTGCCACCACTATGTTTGAAGTTTGGTTTGCTTTAGGCACAAAAGCTACTTTGGTTTAAAGAAACCAGCATTGACTGTTGGCTGAAAACAATATGTAAGTGGTCCCACATTCCCCATCTGAGGTTTTGTCATGCTTCTTCTACCATTACTTCTGATAGTCAACAGACATGATTTCCAGGTTTTGTCAAGTAAACATAGGTTGTGTGAAGGCCTTTGATCAACAGACTGATGCTGTTGTTTTTGTCTAGAAGACTGTCTATATGCAAAACATCCACCAATCTGATGCACACACACTGCATTTTAACCAACTAGAAACAGAACATTCATCATCAGGCGTGCAGTTGAAAAATAATCTTAACCTGTATGAAGAAAAGCTTGCATAAAGGAAAAAACTGCACCGAGCACAAAATCCATTCTATGAAAAAAAACCCCCGCTCTGCCCCTCTGTATCTCTGACATATACATATTCTTCAGCTGTAACACGGAGATGATTGATCAGCTACTGAGAGGAGAAATACTTATTGGATGTCACAGCAGAGGCTTATCTGTCAAAATTAAGATGTTTGTGCTTCAGCTGAAGTCCCAGTCAATTTCCTCAGCAAGGTTGACTTCACACATATCCTATACACAACAGTGAGCAGCATACAGAGGAAGAGAGGGATCAATAGTGAGCACAGAATCAATGTCATCTATGATGAATGATGAATGTCAGGTAATGTGCAGTATTGATATATGTCTTTGTTCCCTTGTGTTTGTAAGAATATTTATATAGTTGGATCAAGGTCTGCTAATACTGAGACTAAAAGATGTTTAGATGCAGAGTGGGTGATATCAGAATGACACAAGGAGATGGAAAGAAAAAAAAATCTTGTGTTTAGGATGGAGAATAGAAGGAGAGGGCATAGAAGAGAAATTGATTTCATTAAAAATGAACTGACAACAAAAATATATCCTTGCAGCTCTAATTTTAACTACCACTGCCAAATGTATCAGGAGTAGTTGTTACCTCAATTGCTGTGCAAAGACATATATTTTGACATTACCTTTTTTTGAAATGTATTGCCCTCATGGGAGCAGGACTGCAATGATTGCAATTGTGCAAATTTTTCAAATAGCAACGGTTGTTGAGGCGAAAGAAAAGGTGAAAATGTTTTTTTTTCTCTTTGTGGATTTCACTACAGGTCTTATTCGGTTGCAAGAACTTATAAAGGCGCCGTCCCGGTACAACATCCGGTTAAAGATACGGCAGCTGCCTGCAGAGACCAAGGATGCCAAGCCGCTGTTAAAGGAGATGAAGAGGGGGAAGGAGTTCCACATCATCTTTGATTGTGGCCATGAAATGGCTGCTGGGATCCTGAAGCAGGTGTGTGTGTGTGTGTGTGTGTGTCTGTCTGTGTGTGTGTGTGTGTGTCTGTCTGTGTGTGTGTGTGTGTGTGTGTGTGTGTCTGTGTGTGTGTGTATCTGTGTGTCTTATTCATGAGGTCTGAAAACCGGGACTCTATAGTTGTGGAGTCCAGCAGCTTTGTGGGGATTTCTGGACTAATTTAAATCACTGTTTGAGGGTTAAGACCTGGTTTTAGGGTTAGGTCTGAAATTAGGTCTAGGTTGGGGTTAGGGGCTCAGTTGTGATGGTCAAATTTGGGGTAAGGAGCGAGTGAATGCATTATGTCAGTGACCAAAAAGAAAGACTCAGAGCTCTCAAAGCTTGGGTAGTGATGTTGTGTCACATGACCAACCACGTGGTTGAGCTTGTATTTAACTTTGTATTCTTGCATTCATGTAGTGTCATATCATCTTGAATGACTGTTGGGTTTCTCTCTCTTGACCTTATCCTGTAAAGTGCCTACAGATAATGTATATTATGATTTGGTGCTATATAAATAAGATGAATTGAACGTTCTGTCAAAAATATTCTCGTTTAGAGATGTTCGTAGTCATCTTGAGTAATATCTTTTTTCAAACATCAGCTGAGTGGAAAGACTTGAAGAGAGTGAATACACAGTTTTCTCTATTAGAGTAAACCATATATTTAAAACCTTATACAGGTTATATACATGATGTGATATATGTATCTCAAAATTACCATTAATTGTCATTATGTGTGCTAACAGCCATTAGGCTCAGCAATGTTGACAAAAAAAAAACCACATCCAGTAACTGACTACTTCAGTTCATTGCTATATTAATGCTACAGTTGATCTTTTAGAATATGAATGTAGTGTCACTTTTTTGGTATTCCATTAGATAGTCTACATCAATATGATCATTGCTGATCAACACTCACCAAACAGACAAAGCAAATGTTACAACAAATGTTGTGTATCCTACACAATTACTGTCTTTTCATCTGACCTAGCTGACTGTGAAGCCTGTGCTGCAGATATTTTTCTAATACTCATCTAGGTCTATAAAATGACCTGTTACATGGCAGCTCATAATATTTCCTAAATCATTTCACACTAACACTAATCCTGTTGGTGGAATAAAATTCAGCTCTAGTCAGTTTTCACGTGTTAGTTTATTAAGTCTGTTAATCTGTTCATTTGCTGGGGTGGTAATTATTGCTCAATCAAATCATCTTACCTTACTAAAATCCTTTGTAAACACTGAAACCTGTTTGATGGTTTCATTCCACAGTGGAGATGGAGAATAGTTCCGGAGTCAATGGAGATGTCATCACTCTTAATTCACTCTGCTCCCAGGCCTAACTAAGGCAACTTAGAGTTAATGAGAAAACCAACATGTTTTTGTGCCCTAAACTGTTAAAGTAATGGGTAATGGCATTGGATGGATATTGCTTCTATAATGCTTAAAACTTTCAGAGAACAAACATGTGTTCAGTCTCTTTTAATGATCCTGTGTGGCTAACAAGTAATATTGAAATCCAATATATGAAGTTTTGCCTGTGTACACTACACCTCCTCTGGCATACGGTATATAGAGTGTATGGTATACTCTGTGGAAACAACAAGATTTGTATGCATGCTAATGTTACAAATAACATTAATTAATTAATAACTAATAACTGTACCTCCGTGCTCCTCTAGTGCAGCAGGCAAATAAGTGATTTTATTCATTTATTTTTCTGTGTTTTATGCTTTAATTAAATATAAATGTTAATACTGTGCTGTAATAGTAAGGCTAACAGACTTCACCCTGCAACACAAACATTTTTAATTTACTTGTGTTAGGATGGGGCCTCTCTGCTTTTAACCTGTGCTGCTAATGTTTTGAGACACTCACTGTTCATTAGCTTGAAGAGCTAACTGTGTCTGTTGTCTGTTTGTTTCTCTGTTACAATTACAACTGCTACTAGCTGCTGTTTCTTGCTGGAGTATATGTCGTGTTAGCTAGCCAGAGCTGACAGATGTCTATCAACAGTGTAGCGTGAATACCACAATTTAGAATTTTCTCTTGTTAAAAAGGGGGCACCAGTCCTCAGAGAGGAAAACTTGATTAAAGTTATGGATTAGTTTGATCAATCTCACATCAAGAGTTGTGATTTCTTGATTAAATCGATCTCCGATCTCCACTTTAAGAAAACACAGGGCAACAACTGGGTCAAGTTATTAAGATTTATTTACTAACTGTGCACAGGTGAAATACAATGAACAATGATAATTAATATGAAACTATATCAAGCAATACCTATTTCTACCAGCTGAATTAGCAATAATGTTGGGTGATGGGGGAAGAGAATAAATTTGGTTATGTGTAGCGTATTTACTCTTAACAACAAGGAATTATAGTTATAAGGTAACTAAGGAAACTAAGATTATTTTTACATCAACCCAGTTAAAAGCAGAAGATGGAGTTACCTTGATCTTGGCTGGAGCCCAGGAGTTAAGGTTGCCAGGTAATTGGGGCGCCACGCCAAGTGGTTCTCTCGGACAACTGTTGCCAGGGGTGACGGGCTCTGCCGATGTCTCGGTGGGTTCAATGTCGGTGCAGTCTGCCAGTCTTCCGTAAGCACTCTCGAGATCTGGTCAGCCGGTCCTGGTCAGGCGTGTAGCCGGAGGTTGACATCAGAATAAGCTTTCGCGTTTAATTGACTTTTGCCAGATAACTTTGGAAGGAATTGGGGGACTTTGACAATTATCGCCACCCCTTAGGTTTTCCCTCTCTTTTATTTGTTTCAATAGAGAAAGAGAGAAAAAAAATCTTAAGTTTGTTTTATTTAATTTGGTTTTACATGCAAGTGTTGTACATTCTACTCCCGCCATGCCCCATTAATATTTAATAACAGCCTACCATGAACTACATAGCTATTGCTTGGAATATACAACTGGACTAATGAATTATCATGGGTTAATAGTAACACTAGAATACATTTATTAACACAAAGATAACAATTCTTAATCACTGAAATACATGGCTAAAGCTATACATCAAATAGTAATAGTAAAGTGATGTATTTGATTGTTTATCGGTTAATTCCCTAGAGGATAAGGGACCCAGAGTGGTCCCTAGATGGCGAGTATTGTAACGTGGTGGATACTTACTTCAGAATTGATAAAAATATATCCCTTTGGGCCACAGAAATTAATTTTGGACTATAATTCATAATTCAGGTTGGAATGTAGGATGGTTTATGCAGGGGTCTGTGATTCCTCATGAGACCCCCCTTTGGGTATGAGGGGTGTTAAAGGTGACAGTAGTGTTTTCTCTTGAGAGAAATTCGTCCATATTGTGAATTCTAATGGCTTAGCACCTTAATAATGCTAAATGTCCCTTTTCATGTTGCTTGATAAGAGGTGGCACCCACCTATCAATCTCATGTGAGTCTCATTGTTGCAACATGGACTCAGTGACATTCTGTGGGGAGTGTGTGTGTTGTGTTCGTCTCCCATTTGTTGTGGGGGGTGTTAATTCGGAATGAGTTCCATGAACTAGCCATAAATTCCAAAGATATCTTAAAAGCTTAGTTAAATTCGGTGAGGTGAGAGGAACTCATTTCATCCCTGTTTTCAGTCCAGGTGATAGTGTGATGGTGAGAAAGAAACTCTTCCTCTTCCTATAATCCAGAGCACCCCAGTGTCCTTACCATAACCCTTGTCTCCGGTTACTGGCGCCAACCAGTAACCGCTACAACAGTGACGTGGTAAAAACAGCATTTTGAAAATGCGAGGAGGAACAGAGTGTGAAAGACAAGAGAGGACACTGCAAATTAACAGTTATAAGTAGTGCTCTCATTTTACAAGTAATACAATGATTTGATACAATGATTTGTTCACAAATCATTGATAGTTAAAAATCGCTCCCTAAGAAAATGAAAAACAAGCCAAGTTAAAAAAAGCATTGTTTGAACATGGCTAATATTAATCACATTACTTAAATGTGTTAATATTATATTATGGGGCGTCGTGTGGCGCAGTGGTCTAAGCAGGTGCCCCATGTGTAGAGGCTACAGTCCTCGCTGCAGTTGGCCCCGGTTCGAGTCCCGCATCAGACGGCCTTTGCTGCATGTCATTCCCCCTCTCTCTGCCTCCCCATTTCCCTTTCTCTCTCTACTGCACTATTAATAAAGGCATAAAAAGCCCAAAAAATGTGTTAATATTAGATATGAAATGATCACATTACAATTCAAACTTAAGTCATTTCTCAATTAAGCCAGACAGTGCATTGCTTATTACAAGCTGATAAGGGCCTGCAGTGCTAATGGTCCAGGCTAAAAATGGGTGTATTTAATTCTGTTCAACTCAAAAATGCTGGTAAAGACAGAAAGTCCCAATTGGTCAAGTAATGCTAACATACTAACATTGATCCCTCACCGGTTTCCCACCTTTGAATGCTGCTAGTTTTGCTTGATTGGGAGTCTGGCTACATCCACAACTTGTGATGGAACTCGTGATATTGTGCTCCTACCAGTTGTGCTCTATCATCTTCTTCCACATAATTTAACCTCCTTGGACAGACTGAAATATCCTGTGATAATGACACATTTACATGAGATGACGAGATATCTTAAGATAATAACACTATTCATTTCACAATTATGGCCTTTGTATCCATACTGTGAGGAATGGAGTGAAGGTATGTACAATGGACTTGGTGTAGACATTTTTTTCCAGTCCATCACTGCATACTAAAGACATACTTAGCTTCTAATCCAAAACAAGCAATTTAGTAGCAAACTGGTCACAGCTTTTCAGAAATGACACTCTTATTTAGTCTACAGATCTGGGGATCAGTGAGTAAAACCAGCCTGAAGGAGCTAGCAGTCCCACAAAAACTATTTCAAGTGCTCTTTTGTAGGATTTTCCCTCTTGATAAGAGTTACACTTGCATACAAAGATTCAGTACTTTGGACTTTTAAGATCTAACTTCAAAAATGAACATCAGTTACACTTCAGATTGTGTAGG